GAGTATGATGAATGGTGTAAAGTTGGGAGGAGTTTAGATGATGCGTTGGTGAGTAAGGATTGGGATCTAGTAGTTAAAGCGAGAGATATAGCTGCAACTAGAGCTTTTACTTTAAGAGTTACAAATAAAGAAGACTGGGATATAGCGTCTAGTATCAAAGATCCATTTGAGGATAATCTCATGGAGGTGTTTTTTCAAGATTAGTTAGTTAGCGCCACACAGATGGCGTTAAATAAACGGCAAAAATTGGAAGTAGAGTCAGGGCATTTAGTTTGAATTTTGCGAGTTTGTTTGTAAAATTTGGAAATGTAGCACTTAGTCAATCAGCGCAATGGCCAGTTTTGCAGCAACCAGCTCAGCAGTTCCAATCTTTTCAACCTAGCTTTAACTTCAATATGGGTCCATTTTATAGCAATACGGCACCCAGAAAGGCAGCATATCAACATTCTTTTGATGGGCGGGAAAGTTCTTGGAATCGTTCTGGGTCATTTCAGTCGAGTCCGAAATTATTTTACCAAAACAGGCCCAGGCAAAGCAGGAATCTGGGGATTGTGTGCTTCATTTGTGAAGAAAAGGGCCATATTGCCTAGGACTGCTACAGAAAAAATCGGGGCAGTTTTTTCGGAGGACAGATTCAGGTGGAGAGAAAAGCTAGCTACACTCGGGGATAGTTGGTCAGGTAGAGCAAAAGGTGGTGAGAAGAATTTATTCAGATTTAGCAGTGGAGTATTGGAGGAAGGTGATTCAACCAGCAGCACTAGTAATGAAGTGGTTAGAAGACAAGATGCCTCTTTTCCCAAGGGGCATGAGGTCGTTGGCCAGCAGGAGGTTCCGAAGCAGTTCAAGCTTTCGGAGGATGAGTTAAATTGGGTAAAGAAAGAGCTAGAGTACAGGTGCAATAAGATTAGTACATATAGGAAAAAGGCGACCAGAGTTTCTTCTGGAAGTGAGCCCAGTATTTTTAGTACCGAAGCCAGGCCCAAAGAAGTATCATCTGGTGATAGACCTAAGGAGATTGAATTGGGTTTTACCAAGAAAGGTGTTTCGTTTCGAAGGTTTGGGCAGATTTTTAAGAACGATTGGAAGAAATTGGTGGGTAGTTGTCTTCGATCTGTGAGAGGGGTATCATCATGTTTTAATGGACGATTGGGCCCAACGTTTTCTGGGATTTCAAGTAGGCGAAAAATGGTTCTATTACACAGTTTTGCCTTTCGGTCTGTCCCAAGCTCCATGGGATTTTTCGAAAATTATGAGGGCGCTCATAGGTTCTTGGTGTTCTCGAGGAATTTGTTGTGGAAATCATATCGACGATGTGTGGATAGGGTGCCTATCGAGAGAAAAATTATTGCATATAAGAGAAGAGGTTATAAGGATCGACTTGGAGGGTTGTAGGTTTGTAAGAGCGTTAACTGACCAGAAGAGTGAAGATTTATGGATTGATAGTGGATACAGAGAAGGGTTTGGTGGAAGTACTTGCAGAGAAAGTAAAAAAGGTGCAGGAGAAGTTGCAGTTAATAGCAAGTTCTCAGGTGATTCCAGCAAGAAAACTAGCCTCATTGGCGAGCAAAATTCAGAGTTTTGCACAAATAAAATATTTGGAGTTTTACAAAATAATAGATATAGCAAATCGTGCTTTTTTCAAGTAGGACAAGAAGGTAGTGTTGACAGACAAGGCTTTAGAGGATGTGGGGTAGTTGAAAGAAAATGTAGAGAAGTGGAATGGCAAACCAGCATGGAAACTAGCCCGAGTAAAGATAGTTTTTGTGGATACGTCGACTATGGGTTGGTGCGGGACCTATTTAGGTTACAGGGCAGCCGGAAATTTGCCAGGGCCTTTCAAAGCAACAGAGATAGCTCAGTTAGAGAGTTTGGTGGCGTTGAGGGCTCTAGAGTCTTTTGTGATGATGTTAAAGCATTCGTGGGTTATCTTGTTCATGGATGATACAACAGTATTAAGAACAGTAATGTATGGAAGAAGGTGCCTGTAGCAAAAAGATATTGCAAGTTTCCTTTGGGAGTTCTGTGTAAAGAACGATATTTGGATCTTTAAAGTCAAATGGGTGCCAAGCGAGGTAAATCCAGCAGACTTTCTCACAAGAGTGTGAGATTCGAGCGATTGGCGGTTGAGCAATCAATTATTTTTAGAGTTGGAGGCAAAGTGGGGACCGGTAACGATAGATCGGTTTGCAAACCACTTAAACACAAAGAAGAAGCATTTCAACAGCTACCATTTTTGTTCAGGAACCGAAGCGGTCGATTGTTTCACACAGTATTGGGTAGCAGAAGTAAACTATGCATGCCCACCTTTTGGGTTAATCTATCGAGTTTTAGCGCATAGCAAAGAGTGCAAAGCGCAAGTGTTATTGATTTTACCAGCTTGGGTTTTAGCCCCTTGGTGGCTGATGTTTCTTGGGGCCCCAAAGAAAGTAGTAGAGTTACCTCCAGCTATGGAGATTATTGTCCCAGGACCATCGGGTCAAAGAGAGCCATGCAAGAATCCGGCATGGAAACTTTTGGCAGCGAGAATAAGTTGGTTAAAGTGCTTTTGAGATGTGCAGATAATTTGGCGTTTCAGGCAGTGAATAAGAAGTATAGATTAAGGCTAGATAAGGCTCAACAGGTTTTTGAGAAGTTTTGTAATTGGGCAGGAAAAGTGCCATGTCCAGCAAGTGTAGATACAGTTAGAGCTTTTCTTGGGTGGTTGGAAATAGCAGGTTTAGCATCGCAGCTGCAGGTTTATCTTGATGCTGTAGGGAGAATGTATAAGAATAGAGAGTTAAAGAGTCCAGCAGAGAATTTCAGGTGGTAAGGGGTATTGGGTTGGTAAAAGCCCAGGACCGTGAAGCAGAGTGGCCGCGGGACCCTTTTCCTTTGGAGGCTTTGAAATGGTATCTTGATGACCTACCTGAAAAGGTTAACCCCATTTTGTGGTGCAGAGATTTAGCCTTAGTAGCGATTGGTTTTCGTATGATGCGAAGACCGGGAGAATTGTGTAAATTGAGGTTGAAGAATGTAGAGAGTAGGTTGGGTTTATTGTGGGTTAGAGTGAGAAAGGCTAAGAATGATCCATTTGCTAATGGAAGATTCGTTCCAGTAAAACTATCAGGTAGTAGGATTTGTCCAATAAAGCTGTTGAAGAAATACTTAAAAGTGTGGCCATATACAGCAGATGAAGAGCCGTTGTTCTTGTCAAATAAGAAAGGGGAGATGTCAGTGGCGGCAATTTTGGCAGTTATAAAGCATATAACTGAGAGGGCAGGAGTTAAGGGTTGTTTTACATCTCATAGTTTACGAGGTGCTATTGTGGCTATGAGGGGTGGTATGTCCTTAACACAGATAAGAACTATCGGGGTTGGGAGTCGAAAGCAGTTATGTTGTATTTTAGAGCAGTGGAAACTACAAAAGAAGGAGCCTCGGTTAAGATGAGTTTTTAAGTGTGTAAAGAAGCAAAGCGATTTTTGTGCAGTGTTTTATGTGCCTTGCAGAGTTAGAGGGAAAGAGAATGCACTTCGATTCTCTTGATGATCTCATATATATATTTCATTGTGATTTGTTTAATAATTTGTTTGATGTGTTTTTGATGTATTGTTTTGGTCGAGTGACAAATGAGATGCCGTGAACGAAGTCACGAGGCATCCATTTGTCATGAGATCACGACCCAGTTCTCAGACCCATGAGGTCATGTGGGTAAGGGTAAGTAACAGGGTATGAGGTAATGATGAAGTGGTTGATTATGAACGACGAGACTGAGATTCATAACGAGAAGGTGGGCGTGCTTGAGAAGGTTAGCGAGATTAGTAAGTATTGATGTGAAAGATAATGAATGTTGGTTTTGATGAAGTATGTAATAGTAAGTATGAGGTTATAGTGAAAGGCTATTTAAGAAGTGTTGAGACAGAGTGTGGTTCTTCCTCTTTTGTCTTTGCTGCTAGCTCGACGAAAGTCTAACTTTGTTGATATACCCACCCACCCACCTCAGGTGATAGCAGTCCTAGGACAAAATTGGAAGTTGATTTAGCAATTGATAGCCTGGGTGGACAACCCGGATATCAAATAAGCAGGTGATAGCCCAGCCGAACAGGTTGGATATCAAATGCAGTTAGTAGTGATCAATTCTAGGGAAGACTAGTGATCACGTGAGCAGCAAGGGTAGTATCTCATATATGTATTTCATTGTGATTTGTTTAATAATTTGTTTGATGTGTTTTTGATGTATTGTTTTGGTCAAGTGACAAATTATCATTATTGAACCTAGGTGCTGCACAAAAAACGCATGGCAGATCCTCGATTTTGGTTAGCTAAGAACAACGATCAAATAATTTTACTAATGCTTAATGAAATCACAGCCGCCCATTAACTGTTAAGTATAAATAACAGTAATTTATTGGCCACGGCCAATTTGTCAAATTACTGTTATTCAACAATTTTTGCCCAGTATTGTTAGGTCTAAATAATATACATACAAGGAGGGTGTTTTCAAGTATCTCCTAGATGTAATTTTATAGTAATCGAAAGCACCCAAGTACTATTATGTAATTTTGCTATTCTCATAATACTTTAGATAAAAAATTAATAGTTATGATGAAGAGATTTGCTCAAGCATCACTCATGTTGTGATTTGCTAATAATCGTAGTTGCTACGATAGATCAAATGAAATTTTGATAAGCCAGTGTGATAAACAGATTATTTTTTTTATTTAAAATTGTTTTTTATAATAAACTAAATGTTCTATACCTTATTTGATCGGTTAAAAGTATTTTCCTCTAATTAAATTTAATCACAACACATTTTCAGCGCATATTGACTCATTGATTAGGGCACTTGAAATGCCCATAACCAATCAGAATGAATAAATATCTTAGGAGGAGAGCTATGCTGTGTGTAACCATAATATAAAATCTTGCCGATCAACTGTTTTACAAATCAAAACATAAACGTCTTTAGCCTGTTTCAAACTTTCCTAAGAGATTCAAAAGATCCATTAACATTAAATTACGAGATGTGGTTGATTCGCGAGTGTAAGTTAGAAACTGCAGAAGCGTTCAACAGATGGTCAAGAGATATTTCTATAGATTTCACTTTCCTTGCGATTTCTGGTTCTTCCGAATTATCTTTAGACTCCTCTAACGAACGATTAAATGAATCAAAAATTTGGACAAAAAACTTTTGGTTGCAGTAAAGGGGTGTTAAAAAGGTAAATTTCTAAAAGTTAGCGTAGAACCAATTTTCTTCATTACAAAACTTAAAGTTTTTGCTTATGATCGTATTGGTATTCAAGTTTAGGAAGTAGCTAATTACAACTCCTTCAATAACAAGTTTAGAATTAGTATCAACATCAGGTGGATCACAATCATTTATTTCAACAACATTAGTAGAAGCATTTGCTGGATCTACAACTTTTGATTTATCACCAAATTTACAACAAAGAGATCAAATCACAACTAAAAAAATCAAAGAAAGAGCGGCTTCGTCAGCTGAGCCACAGGATGAGAAGGAGTTGCCGCGTAAGATCAATTTAGTTTAAATCATTGCACTGGTGTTTGTTATTTCATTTTTATAAACTTCTACATTTTAATAGACTCAATAACACGATCTGAAGTTTACAAGGGTGTGAGCTTTGGACAAGATACACACTCACAATAGCAGATCTTATTTGGGATTCTTAAGTGGATTGTTACCACAACGGACGAACTCTTTCTTCATCCCATTAACCATTAAGAATCCTTGAATTGGTTCGAACAAAAAACTGAAACCAAATAATAAGTCGGTTGAGGAAGAGGTTTTAATGACTAATGGAAGTTTTAAGTTTCAGAATTCAAAAATTCCGAAAAGCTAAGAAAGTTGCCCGTGTTATGTGGTCGGTAATTAATATTAGGACTCTGAGAAGAATTGGAGAAATGATGAAAAGCTTTGAGAAGGTAGTACAGAACCGAAATTGGGTTGTGTGTAAGGGTTGCTGATTTGGAACAAATTATAAGAGATAATAGGTGGAAGGATTTGGTTTATGACTAATCGATGTAATAAAAATAATCGATAATTAAAAAAGTAAATTTTATTTAAATAATTCGATTTATAAGTTTTTTATTTTTTATTATCTTTCATTTTACTACAATTTGTAAGTTATGTCTTCTAAAAATACAACTGGACGACCGCCCTAAGTTGTGTGGAATTATATCCAAAAAGAAAAGCGTGAAGATCATGGACACAATGGTACAAAATGCAAGTGTGGTAAATATTGGGCTCGTGGAAAGCTGAAATATTTGGAGATCACTTAACTACTGAATGTACTGTACGAAGGTTGATAGCATTAATTCTAAATTTGTTGAAAACAAATTTAAAGGCTGTGGTAATATGGAATTCGATGTTGATGCTTTGGTAGATAAACTTAAGATTTGAGCATTATTAATAAGTAAATGCATTTTAATAATATTATAATTTATAAGGCAATTAATTTTGATTTTTGACACATTTTAAATTTCGGCATTTGTTTCGGATTGCAGCATAAATTATGGCTTGCGGCTTTATTTCTACCGAAAATCCGATGTCTAAATACTTTCGACACAGCCGCAACTAGTTTCTACGGTATTATAGCTTTCATCTCCAAATACGCTTACACCGTACAGGAACTAAATTCCTTGAAAATTTCTAACCTTAATTTAAACACTAACCTAACATAAACAAGACACGTGCTATAAAAGGAGTTCTATACGAGCTTTTTTTGTTAACCAGCAGACTACGCCTTTGTCGCTTACCATAAACGAAGTACATTTTGTTTTTTGCTTTACTGTTTTTGTATGAAGCGTAACTTACAGTATACAATTATTATATAAGACCCCATTCCGAATATTTTTTAAAATACAGTTGACCCTCGTTAATATCTACCTCATTGATATCAATCTAACTATAAAATGAATTTCTATAAAATTATATTAAAATTCACTCATATATATCTACTCTAATTATCAACATGAATATAAAAGCAATCAAAATGGTTGATATTAACGAGAGTCAACTGTATCAATGAGGGATCATATTTAAAGTAGATATGCAACTTGTTTGAATTGGTTTAAATTCATGTTGATAGTGATATTAACAAGGTATTATATTAAAGTTGATATATATGAGGGAATTTTAATATATAAAAATTCATCTTATAGCTTAGGTTGATATTAACAAGGTTGATATTAACGGTATTAATATATAATTTTAATATATAGAAATTCATTTTATAGTTAGGTTGATATTAAATGAGATTGATATTAACGAGAGTCAACTGTACTAACAAAACTAAACGAAGCTTCTATAGGTCCTGATTATATGATTAGGTATACTTAATTGCTCTCGAATTGTAGAGTATCACGAAAGCTCTTCTATAGTCACATCATTATTTGCATTGTGCTTGTGAGAAACTTACAAGTGTAATATAATTCTAGCTAACCCAAAACAGGTATTATTGAGCAAAGGTTGTGAGGGGTGATAAGTTGCCTAGTGACATTCTAAATGTGCTTCTTCGATAACTGGCTGACTATGCCTTTATCCGGGACTGCAAAGTTACGGTTTCTGTGGGTTCATTAGAAATTTGTAAAAGATTTTTATGAGTCTTTAGGCTTGCCCTGATTTTATGATCTAGTTAAATGACTATGCCCTGTTTAGTTGCATAGGTTATGTCTCGAAATTCATAGGAGTTTGTTTGTTTAATTTTGTATAAATTATGCGATTTTATTAATAGGATACTTTCGCTTTATATTTAAGCTTATCAGTTATTTCGCAAGATTTTTTAACGATAAAACTGTTAGCTATTTTATACAAAAAATTTTCATCAATAAATAATAGAAAACTAAATAAAAAATTACTAATTTGTATATTATTATTTTTTATTTAAATATCTTGTAGAAAGTCGTCTGAAAAACCAAAAGGTCGTTTAAAGAATTCCGGGTACCATTGTACTATATTATTGTTTTGACTTTATTCGTTAACACTGGCCCGAGTTTTTTTAGAACCTACTCTGATTTTATGGTTTTTATTAGAACTTAGTAAGGAACGTCTGAATATTAACGAAAAAATCGTATTAACAAAAGGCTGGTCTGATAGACCGGTCTGAACTCTTTTAGGATCGATTCTTATAAGCCTATATCACTAATTATCGTTATATTCTCCAATGTTAAGTTTATTAATACGTGTATGAATTTGATTAACAAATTTTAATTTAGAGTTCTTTAGATATAGGATCATTTACAGTAAATTATCTTCCCCAAAGCCTCCGTTTTTATTTTTGTATTTTTAGCGAAAATACAATATTTAAATTGGTTAATCAATACAAATTTCATTTTGCTTTAGCCCATCTTTATGCAGTATAACGATAAATGAAAAAAGAATTAAAATAATAACATAATAATAATTACACAATAAAATAATTTTGCATTTTCAATAAATTTTTGATAGCAAATATAATTATTTATAAGGCGACATTCATAATTTATGTTAAACCAATATTGTTATACGTAGAAGTCTTAAGGATAATACAAAAATAATACTATATGGTATTATCATCAGGGTTTCTATTTCTATACAATACAGTACTGGGTTAACGTAAATTATGGATGTCGCTAACAGTTTGCGTGACTATTTGTATGACTCTAACTGACAGTAAGTTTATTCAAAAATTACTTGGTCTTCCCGTTACAATAGTAATTATAGTCAGACCCCTAAATGCAACCTCCCTAAATGCACGATGGAAGGTTAGCCCCACAATGGGACTTATAGATAAATACATGTTCTTTATTCTGTAAGTGCACGCTAATTGTTTGGCCCATTTATAAAAACTCACTCCATAAATACATTCACACGATTATAAAACCACATTTATCACGAGACAATAGTCACATTATGATCTTATTAGTGTTCTCCTCCTTAAATGCACGCCCTAGAGCTCCCGACGACGTGCATTTAGGGAGGTCTGACTGTATAAACTTCTTTTTTCATATTTCGGAATAATAAGAAATATTATTATATACTATAGCTTCAACTTCTAAGTTATTCTACAGCCAGACCTCCCTAAATGCACATCGTCGGGACCAACTCTAGAGCGTGCATTTAGGGTTAGAGAACACTAATAGGATCATGTGACTATTATCACGTAATAAATGTGGCTTTAGTAGCCTAAAAATAATAAACTTGATTGGCTAATAATCGCGTGAATGTATTTATGGAGTGAGTTTTTATAAATGGGCCAAACAATTAGCGTGCACTTACGGAACAAAGAACGTGTATTTATTTATTTATAAGTCCCATTGTGGGGGCTAGTCTTCCATCGCGCATTTAGGGAGGTGTTGCATTCAGGGGGGTTACATTTAGGGAGTATTTTTTAAACTTTCTAAAAATTTTACTAGAATTCTCATCGACAGTACACGTATCAAGATTAGATTATTGTTTTAGGTTAACAACAAAGGATCAGAAATTATATTTAGAGTACCTTTAACCACATAATCGATAGTTTTTCTAAATGAAAAGTTTCTTGATTTAAAGTTTTCTATTAAAGTAGTAAAATGATATTCTGATGATTGTAATTCATTAATATCACGTAGACAGATTATTATGAGTATATTTAATATCAGATATGGCTGTTTCATTAAATCAAAAGTATTGTAGAAGAATAAATTGGAGCATTTAAATTTACACAAGAGCATCCTTTTTGATGTCAAAATTTTTTTACTAAAAACTTATGGATTCCCTATGGTAATTAACAAGCTATATAGTTGATATTTGGTTATATAATGAAGAAATTTATTCATTTTGGATTTTTGAAAAGTTGGCACCACCTTTTAAAGATTTTAAAGACAACGTTACGTACGTACGTACCGAGGAACGGAAGAATTTTCTATAGCTTTAGCCAAAATTTTGATCCTATTAATTATCCAAAATAATTTTCCGATCAACCATTTGTATTTGATCTTTCGATACTGTAGCAAGCAGATCGATGCAATTTTCCGTTAAATATAAAAATATTCTCGATTTTCATTCTTTATAAAAAATTGTTTCTATCTTAGGAAGTCGTTAATTTATAAAAAGAAATCATTAAATAAAAAAAATTTTGCAGATTATTAAAATATATATATTTATTTTGTTAATTAAGATCAACGGAATATCGAGCAGTTTTTTTAATTCCCATAATTTATTGGGCAAATATTACGGCAAGATTGTGCAGTATGCTGTAAATAACAAACCAATTGAATTAAATTTCTTTTCCAATGGGTAAATTACCGATATTAACCGCTCCATAACTCTATAACTGTATAATGCAAACTATTATTTTTACGGAGATAAACAAAAAACACTCAGACAAAGAGTACTAAGATTGTGAAACTGATAACCATTGGTATTGATTATTCGTGAAACATTTTCTTAAATATATTTGGAGATCTTTTTTTACTTAATATGGTTAGCTTTAAAATCTTACATTCGTCACACCAAACATTTGAACTAAAACTTCAGGGATATATATATTGAAAAATGTAATATTTATTACTATTATCGCGATTTGACATTCTTTTGCGGATTAATATTCAAGAATCATATTGTTCACCCTTATTTCTCTTTCATAAAAAACGACCAGGTTTCATTCTTGATATTTTTATCCGCCGTTTCGCCAAATTACCGCGAGAAATTAGGATATGGTTCTTGAAGTCGTTCTATGTATTACAGGCACGGGCAATAATTGCAATGGAGACCATGATGGAGACTATGACAGAAACAATTACAGAGACGGTGGTAGAGACCATGACAGAGGTGGCAGTAGAGGCAACTACGGAGATAATATTAAAAGTCAAGGCATAAACGATGGCACAAATTCCAATAATGCTAATAGTAGCATTACTGCCACTTCTGCTGATGAGAATAGCCATCCACAAACTACAAGTTCAAATACAATCAATTCGATTCCAAACAAATCAAATACAACCAATTCGACAGGATCAATTCCAAACAATTCTAATAGAACCAGTTCGACAGGGTCAATTACAAAAAATTTAATTCCAACAAGCACATCGCAATCCAACTCAACGAATACACAATCTATACAACCAACACATACTTTAATAGGATCAAATAAATCAGTATCAGCAGACGCAGATACAGCAACGAATCCTTTTGATTCAGAATCACCATTTCATATACCAATAATTATTGGAATTGTAATAATCGCATTGATAATAATTCTTATATCATATTGTTTATTAAAGAAAACGGTTTTCAAAAAGCCATATGGATCACCTAATAATGGATACATACTTCATAATCCTATGGGTGAAAATGAGCCTGGCATAAGTTGGAAAACAAGTTCACTTGATAGTGATACAGAAATTCAACCACCAGCAATCGCAATGGCATCTAACAGGAGCTCAATGGTACGAATTGATCAATTAATAAATATAGATTTAAATGAAGATAATAATCTTAGTAATATGTCAGATGCACAAGATTTCTTGGAGCCGGCTCGAAGGTCAAGTGCATTTTTGGATTATCGGTATCCTAATGACTTTTACCGATATTCAGGGACAACTTTGGAAAATGTTGAACATGAAACTATTCAACAACCAGCTGCCGCATTTATTTAGTCAAGGAGATTTTATTCTCAAGATTAAATGATGTTTAAAAAAAATCATTCTAGCATATATTTATCAATTGTTTACTTATTTTCAATGAATCACTTGTAACTACTTTCCAAATGATTGTTTGATACAATCAAAATATTTTCAGCTATACAAATCAAATGAAAAAATGGACTTAAAATTCTCTTAAAGAATAGTTTAATTACAAAACTCAAAAAATTCGATTAATACTAATTTAAAAAACCTGTTAATAATTAGCAAAAAAAAAATTATTGAAAAAATATGGTATCAAGTTTCGGAAAAGAGATCAGGTTTCGGATTTTGGGTAGAGTTTCGGTTAACAGATATAACTAACTATATATATGTAATGTATATAATTATAAAATAAATATTTTATGATGAGTTGATGCACATGACTGGTCATTTGCATATGGAACATAATTTCTTATTTCTGATGCACCCACGGACAAATAAACCCGTTTTTTATTTAAATAATAATTGTTACATTAAAGTGGCCCGGGTGTTGAAGTTTTCAATTTTCGAGACTATACCGGTTATAACTATTATTTAATGATACAAATATATTCTTTCTATACCATTTTAAAACGTAGTCAATAAAATAAAAATCACGTTGTATAATAGTACTATTCCTAAATGTATTACAGTAAAGTTATTTTCTATATTTAGCATTGACTTATTTTCAAGTTTAACCTCTTTTGGTAAAGTACTATATCGTATGTATGAATCTTCAATAAGAATTTTAAAATCTTAAAAAAGATTTTCAATTGTTCTTACAACACAATCTGAAAGATTTATTTTGAAAGATACCTAAATTAGTAAAATTTTGCGTGATCTTGAATGAAGTTATTAAAATTGACCAGGGTTCTGACCTGGGATTTTTTTAAACGTATCGATATTTTTAGCTGATGTAACTCAATTATATATATGCATATCTGGTTATATTAATTATATATTGAATATATGCCGACACTTTTTAAAAATGCACCCGTATTAATCTTTTTCAAAAGAAATTAGTATATTAACGACTTTTCGAATAGTAAAAAATAAATAATAAGAAATTTCTGAAACAAACAAATCTGTTTTTAATGATATTTTTTCAGTGATTGAGAGCTCGAGCCGAGTGACCAATCCAAGCATGGTAAATGACCAATCAAATAAATTAAATAAATTCAATATGCAAGTATATTAACATTCGCGCTAAAACCGGGAATGTGTACAAATTTGTTTAAATTGTTATTACGTTAGATGATATAATCAAAATATTATTAATGTAAAATATATTTATCATTATATTAACTTGTAAAGAATTGAGTTGTTTTAAGAATTTTGACTCTAGAATGTCACGACTTTAAGCCGTAACTTGTATTGTTAGACGAAACTTATAGGTTTGCTCACTGACGAAAATAATTTTAAAAAGACGAAACTATGAAACTGATGAAACTATGAAGAGGATGAATAATAAAGATAATAACACCAATTAAAAATAACAATCAAATTATATGAAATTACTATTTCCACCGTTATTTCTATCATGAAATGACCTAACTCTAGCTATGATCTACATACCTATAAAACAATTAATATAGTATATTTATAGCTAAGAGCCTTAAAAGCCCAATGTCTTATATTACTAACTAGCCAAATAATTTACATAATCACCATTTAAAAATCAGACCATTATTTTATAAAAGAATTTGAAGGTAACTAACTTTTTTAAATTTATACCTCTTAAAAAATTACTATGCAATGAATCTTCTAATGAGTCAATGAAAATTTTATTTTATTAATGGTTATTATAATAAAATCAAGTAATATATATCGACAAATAATTTTTAATTAAATAATTTTAAGTTTGTAAGTTAATAATATTAGGCGATTATATTTGGTTGCACTAGTAATACAATTTAGTAAAGCTTTTCAAGTTGCAATTAATTTTCATGTGATTTAAATAAATATAATTGGCTGTCAAATATTGAATTAGCTGTTAACAGTTAATATTTAACGATAATAATAATAAAAAAAAGTGCCTTTATAATTTTTACAATTTCGGATTTAATACAGTAATAGATTTTGAGCTGTAATACTCAAATATAAACAAAAAGCCATCACATTTATATTAATTCATAGGTTTAAGACGTGATTTTAATTATTTTATATTAATTAAGGATTATTCAAATTATGGGCACAGTTTTAACAGTTAAGGCTTTGTCCTTTACGAATTGCTTCACCATTCATAGATACATTGACTTTGGAATCGTATATTTACGGAGGTTCTGTCTTTTTAGAGGTTTCATCTTTTGCAGATTTCATGGAGAGGCTTCGAGATTTCGACTTTGGTTCGTTCTTTGAGGGGTAAGTTTCGTCTTTCGTCATTTCACAGAAATAATCTCGTCAAATACTAGCCGTAACTAGCTAAAGCTCTAGGTACGGTATAAGCCATGAAAGTTTCTATCTCATCTTTATTAATTCATAAATTTGATATGCATTATCTTTGTTAACTGTTTTGAGAATAAAAAACGTCGGAATTTAAAGATTTAAATGAACATGACACGTACTGTACGTAAATGTAAATTAATACTTTATCTCGAAATAACGCGCGCGTAGTCAAAATAGCGCGCAGATGCCCGCTATTTCGAGAATTTACGGTAATATTATTTGAATCGTCTCATTAAGATGTAATATACAAAAAGTACAACTTGTAGGCTTTCCCTTGGCGGCACTCATATTATAAAAATTTCAGAGATATTAGATTTTGTGCGGTGTTGCATAAATTAGTATGAATACGTAATATATACTATGAAAGGAAAAATGTATAGTATACATATATGTACAGTACGTACGTATAAAACTTTTTTTAAAAAAGCGTATACGTAGTTACAGATATGTATAACGATAACAAAAATTTGAGTCAGTTATAGCTTCATATAGATATATGATATTTTAATTAATAAAAATTTTGGTTTATTTTTGATTTTTTATTGATCGTAAAGGTAACTTGTCCATAGGATATACGATAATTAATATTTGGGAGCAGGCTAAAAAAGTAGATTGATAAGAAAAAGTTTATATATATTATAAATAAATTTTTTTAGCGAATATTATACATTTTTAAGATTATTTAACGAATCTTTTTTTTTTAAAAAAAAACTATATTTTATTTAATAAAAAATTTTTAAAGATTATTTATAGATAATCGACCATAATAACGAACTTAGATACAATGCACAAGTATTGAAGAAGTTTTAAAAAAAATTTGAATGGATAACCTAGTTATTTTTTTGTAATCTTATATGATGTAAGGATAATATTAAAGTTTTATTTTTGAATATAAAGATGATATAAAAACCTTAATGAACTTTAGTTAATTTTATACTTTACGTTTATAAAAAAGCAAAATAAATTTTTTTAGAGAACTTGAATTAGGCCAGACAAAGTTAATTTTTTATTTCTCATAACCCAGCCGGGTCATTGAGTCCGGGAAGAAGAATTTAAAGTTTATGAGACGCAGTATTTAAGTTGACCAATCAGAATTGAGAGCACCATGCTAACTCATGTTGAATCGGAAGGTGAAAAGGCCTTAGCAAAAGAAAAAAGCATTAGTAGATGCGCTTACAAGAACGCTTTCCTGGCTTCTTTGAGTCTTATAATATGAACACAGATCAGAAGAATGAAATACATTAATCGATGCACTTTGTAGAAACAATTCTTGAAAGAATTTAATGATCTAACCCAGTTAAAACTAACTATCTGGATATTTATTAATCTAACTTTTTTAATATCCAGAAATTGGTCAAAAAATTGAATTAATATCCGGATAAATTCGTTGAGTATTTATTGAACATTCGAATACAGCACTTCTAGTAATTTGACATGTTATAGTTCACATGTGGATTTTATTCTTTTTTTTTTATTTTAAATTAAAAACCGGATTGATGGAAAAGATGTGCTTTGCAAGTGCACCATACAACTTTGAGTTCAGATAAGACTAAAGTTTATAATCAATATTTTGTATATATTTTTTAGAAAATCAAGTTACAAATATTTCGATTAATAAATAATATGACTGAATTGACTTGAATAAAAGATTATTCATCAACCAAATCAGCATGGACAATAAACTAATAAAACTAATAAGATATGCATACATTGCTTTCGAATACTTTGACAAATTATTTTATACTTTCTGGTTAAATTAATTTTCTACAGGGAGATCTCCAAAATTCCAGGTCGGGAGCTTCAGAACTCTGGTCAGAAGGGCCGGAGTTGATCGATTTTGTCCCAAGATCACTAAGAATTTTACTAATGAAACAATAGTCATTCATTAAGTGAAAAGTGCCTAGCTGATAATTTTACTATAGCTTATAGCTTTCACTAACCCTAACCCAGTCCTAACCCTGACCCTAACCACAACATATTCCAGTAATTACAACCCAGAAATTTAGGGATCTCCCTGTAGAAAATGCCTTTCACAACATACATATGTACAAAAATTTAATAAAAAATGTAAGTAGATTAGATCTTAATAATATAAAAAATTATAGGTTCTTATTTTCTTTAATCTCCTTTATGTTGTATATAGTGTAAACTTATACTCGTTGTTGATTACTTTTTTTTTAGTGCTGAGTTCAGTAAGTAATAATTTGTCCAAACTCCTAATTTCACATTACTGTATAATCAAGTTTATGTTGATTATAACTTCTTTAATGTATTTAAAATCCTTGTTTATTATTACAAATCTGTGAATATAGCTACTTTGCAATGAGGTTATTATTTTGCAATATTTCAATATACAGATAACAGAAGTTTTTATATTATATTTTAGAAAACTTGATAAAATAAAGCAGTTGGAGAAACATTAGTAGAGGTACTTTGCAGAGCCTGCTTTGAATCTCAAAGCGAATGAATTAGTTCACAAAGTAAAAAAAAAAAAAAAGTTGCAAGAGCAACCTATTTTGAATTTTAGAACAAATAGATTTAGAACAGAG